CTGCTACTACGACGACGACGACGACGTTTCCCGGGCAGTTTGATTTAAGTTTGGGAGTTCAGGGCTTGCGGGGTTGCCGTTAAAGCCGCCGTCTTCGGTCGTTGTATTCAGGAGACGGCCCGCGCCTTCGCAGCCAAGCTTCTTGACGAGGCCGCAGTCGTTTGTCGGCTGTTATGCCGGAAGAAGACAGAAGCCTAACGGGATGGGATGGGTTTTACTGCTACAGAGTCGATGCTGGCTGTGGTGGTGGTGGTAGCGGCGATTGTGATGGTGACAAGGACGACAGCAATGACGACGAAGAACTGGGAGTTTAAAGATGTTTTCTGCCTCTGCTTCGGCTTGGGCTGCGGCTGCTGTTGTCGATCATGATTTCGGCTGATGATATAGTTGATGATGATTGAGTGCTCGGACAGGGAGCTACCGCAAGACAAAGAAAAACATGATGATGATTTCAGTGGGCCTGCTGTTTGATCATGGAGTCTCGTGTTGTGCTTGCCTAGGTGTTGGCCCTTCGGTTTGTTGGTTCGCCGGACCCACTTGGTCCCTTGGTTCCGAGGGGTCCGGGTCCTTGGACTTCTTTACTCCTGTGTGTAGTGGAGCCTTTCTTTCCTCGGCGCGGTGTGTATTTTCCTTGGCTGGGCTGGCTTCGGCGCTGAGCTTCGATGTTCTTGATCTGCGGCGAGCTGCTGGGGAAATGAAACGTTGCCAGGTACTGCTTTGTGGCAGGCTGTTGTAAATTTTCAGTTTTCAGAGCCTTGTTCATTGGGAATTGACAGTTTGCAACTGTTTTGCCGCAAGCTAAATAAGGAATTCACAATCGAACAGTCTGTGGCACTCGCCGTCTCTTGTGTCCCAGCCTGCCACAAACCATGGCCTACTCGATGGATCAAGCATCCTTCAGTTTGCCGGCAGCAGACTCTAAATTCGAAAAGCTAGCCTGAAGCATTGCAAGAAAGCCGAAATTGATTGCTCCAGCACATGAGAATTGAAAGTGAGCGGCAACCGCAACACGACACAGTCCAAGCCCCCAAGCCATGCCACCACTGCCACCGCGGTGCCATAGTCTTCATCCTAGTCGTTCAAAGCCTTCTGAAACCCTTCGGCAAGCCTGTTCGTCCATGGCGCCCTACTCAATTCCGTTTCGAGTGGCCTGCTCCCGGATCTCAAAGCCTCCAGAGCCTTTTCGAAAGGCTTTCGACCGGCATGCCACCCTCTTTATTCCCTTTCTATCCTTCTGCGGCCTTTTCGCTACATTTTCTGAGTTCGTTTCAAGTGTTGTGTTCTCCTTGTTCGAAGTCTTTCAAGCCACTGTTCCGCAAGTCGTTTTTTGAAGGTTCCGCTACCCTTCCGCTCAAAGGCGAAGTTCATCGCCCAATTCTCGAGACCTTCTCGAAAGGTTATCTCCCCTTTCTCAAAGTCTTTAGGGTTTAGGGTCTCTAGACGAACCCTGTCGAACGGCTTGACTTGCACTCTGCAAGGGTCTCCCTTTCTCTGCCGAGTCCCTTTCCTAAGCTGCGCCTCGCTCGAAATCTCCGGTTCCTTCGCTCCCGCAGCATGTGGGTAGTTCGGTAGTTCTCTATAAATATCTCTAAATCAAAACCCCTTCGAGGGCCCGTGTTACAAGGGCACCTAAAAAGGGACCCCAACTGAGAGAACTGGCCATGTGTTCCGATCCTGATCTTCGTCATCGTCATTGCGATGACATCCCTTGCGGCGATTTGGGTTTCGAATCGGTCTGACATCCATGTCCATCTTACTCATGTTGAAGAAGATCTCTCAGGGTGCTACCGAAGCCCTATGCCAACACCCAAGGACTCACCCTGAATCCACCCAGTGCAAAGGTGGTCGGTTCGGGCGCCGGGGCCGCGTGGCTCGCAAAAGGCGCATGGGTAGAATTGAGATTTCTGGCGGATGAGCGGCAACCGCCGGCAAGGTTTGCATGGCTCTGAGAGCTATAGCAGCCTGGCTGCTTCCATTTGAATTATAGGTCTTCCAACACTGGCTCCTCAACCCTCGCAGCGTAAGCCTTGCCGGCCTTTTCAATGCGGGCTCGTGTTGCAGGAAACAGCCGCCAGATGTGTCCAAACACCGGTGAAGGCGGGCTCAGGTTTCGGATTCTAGCCCTGCAAGCCTCAGGTTGTGGGTCGCATCCGCCTTACACGGTGGGATGTCATGGGTTTTGAATCATGATGTCGACTCTGTCAGACAGTTGCAAGGGCAATGCTGGCTCGGCAATCAGCCTCAGTGAATGGCGAGATATGGCGAGATCGTTCCTGTACTGCAGGGTCTGTCTGTCTGTCTGTCTGTCTGTCTGTCTGTCTGTCTGTCTGTCTGTCTGTCTGTCTGCATATATGCATGCATGCATGCATGCACGCATGCATGTATGTTTGAATGTATGTATGCATGCACGTGCGAGCTTGATGCTGTATACATGTATAGGTATTTACGTACGTACGCACGTGCGCGTGTACGTATTTGGACATGCAACGTATACATGCACACATGCACGTATACACACCCGGATAGCATAGCACCAACATCAAACTAACGAATAACCTCTATCAACATATCACCATATCAGCCTCTCTGTCAGCAGCGGCTCAGTGACTACTAAACACGCTATGCCTGATGAGACAGGAAAAGCTCTCTTTCATGCAACCAAGCACAAGGCTCAGAACCCAAAGCCTTCCCGTAAACCCGGACATTTAGCCCCAGTTACGATCCAGTTCCAAGACGGCCCAGAAGAACTCAGAAGCTCAGCCATCAGCTCAGTTTTCCATCTTGATTGTGTTCTCGTGTCCTGGCTCGAACCTGCCCAACCTTCACTCCATACTCCAAGACAAGTTTATGCAGGTTTCGATTCCATCGAGCAACACCTCTCTGCCGGAGCCTTTTCCTTCGTCGCGCTGCTGTGGTGTTGCAAGTTCTTCGTTTCGGACTAGGATGCGCACGTGAAAGCTGAAAGGCACATCCTGCTCATGTGAAGGGGCAAAACTTCGGAGCCATGAGAAACCTTCGCCGATCCTACAGGCTGGTCCTCAGCTTAATCCCTACAGAATCTGCAGAACCTTCCACAGCCCGCCTGAACGCCGGTCTGTGCACCTTCGGCATCCTCCTTCGCACCAATGCTCCCAGATTTGCCCGGCGGTTGGGCGCGTTCCCCTCTACGCCGGAGACGAGGCTGCCAAGACAAATCGGGTTTCGGGGTGTTACAAGGGCATGAACAATAAGAACCAGGAGTATCAAAGCCATCATTCAAGAGGTGACTCCAATCACAAATGCGAGAAGTCATGACTCGCAGGTTCGTACTGTGGATAGCTTATGACATAAGCAGTGACCCTAAACCCTAAACCCTACTCATTGAGGCTCTCTACCGTTCGTGAACAGTTGCGAGGTGGAAAAGGGCCTTCAAAAAAAAACCCTAAGCCCTTTCGCGCTCCTGCAGCTGGGCAGGTAAGACTCGCTCGGCTGACCGCGGCGCAGTTGAACGGCAAGGCTCCGGGACAGTTGGGAGTTTGCCAAGATAAGGGGTACCTTATTTTGGGGCCCTTATAAAAAGGATCCTACTATTGAGGGTACTATATTAGGGTCGTACCTTACTGTGCATTGGCCCAATTTTGGTGTCCGCAGAGCAACTCTGAAACCGGAACTCGAACACGGGAAGCAAATCTGGTTACAAGGATGGGCGCACAAAGCAGCCCAACAAATGATCTAAATGATTGGGGCCGACGTTGTG